TAAATTTATAAAAATTCTTAAAATATGTAAAACAACAAAATAAAATATACGTGTTTAAGAGTTTTTCCCAAAAACTCACCGGTTTTTAAATAATTCATATTTTAATATTTGAGGGATAGTTTCACACCCTTAGAATTCGAGTTTCGAAAAATCCCTTCTTATCGAACCTCTACACCCTAAAGTCAATCTGTTTTCTAAAAATCAGCTTTTTTAAGTCAAGCGCTTTAAGCAGGATCGTGATTAATCAATGACCAGATTTTTCAAAACACCCTGCACACATTTTTAAAGAATCTTAAAATATGTAAAAAAACAAAATAAAATATACGTGTTTAAGCGTTTTTTCGGAAACTTGACCGTTTTTTAAATAAAAAATATTGAAATATTTTTCACCCTCTTGGAATTGGAATTTCGAAAAATCCCTTCTTATCGAACCTCTACACCCTAGAATCAACCTGTATGCCAAAATTGAGCTGCTTACGTTGAGTGGTTTGAGCAGGATCGTGATTAATCAGTATGTCAGTCACTTAAGGATTTTATATATTAGTATAGATTAACCCTTCTGGTAGGAACTTTGTTTGTTGCCAGGTTACCATTGTATTAAAGAAGCTGGTTTATAAATTGACGGTTGTTGTTGGTTGTTGTCAATCGAATTCAGTTTCTTCAGTTTTTTGTCAATTCGGCACACGTTCGAGTACATTTCTATTAAAATAGAGAAGATAATAATAAATAACGCTTTATTGTGCAAAAAGCCAACATAGCTCCAAGCAAACAATTTCATCAAACAATTTCACAAAAAATATACAAATAATAAAAAAATATGCAATACATATCATACAATTTAAAAAAAATTAAGTCGTTAAAATTACAAATAGAAAATACATGGATAATTGCAGAACACAAAAAAAGGCGTATGAATAAAATTTTACAATAGGAATATAATTTTAAGAGTTATAAAATATTAAATACTCGATCTTTGACCAGTGTGTGAGATGATTAAAATTCAAAATTTTTTATGATTAAACATCAACAAAAAAGTCGTTTACCGCATATAGGGCTCTCTCCGGTAAGTATGATTTCAGAGCTTTGCGAAATGCGGGAAAGAATGAAAGCGACTTGATATTCAAAGGCAGATGATTGTACATTTTTAGATATTGTACAGTATTGAGCCTTTCACTAGTTCTGAGTTCGGGGTTGGTAGATAAATGTCGTGCTCCGCATTCCTAAATGGATAGTTGTGAGATGGCATTTCGGGAATAGCAGATATGTGCTTGCGGATTAAGCAAACGGATTCAAAAATGAATAAAGAAGGAAGAGTCTTTTGAAATTTTTAAAGAAATTCTGGCAGTGAGATATTAAAGAAAGCTGAAGAAGCACGACAAGCGTTACCTCATTCTCTGAAAGGAATATAAAAAATACCTTCAGTGCTTGGGACAGAGGAATATTGCAACAGGGGATGTCGATGAAACTGTTCTCTTGTAAATTTATTATACAGGGTGTTTCAAAACAAATGCGAAAAACTTTAGGGAGTGATTCCTTGTTCAAAATAAAGGGTAGTTTGCTTTATAAACGTTGGGTCAAAAGTCAACC